ATAAATCCAAAAAAAAACATTTAATCCCTGGATTACCAAAGATTTTAAAAATCATCTAAGATTAAGCAGAAACTGTATATAAAGTATTTAAAACAATGTCCCAAAAAATGAAAAAATATACAAAGATTTTAAATATCAGTCTAAAAAAACTCAAAAAAATTTGAAAAAAAAATACTACTCTAGATTAATCGATAAGTATAAAAATAACTCCAAACGTACATGGGAAATAATAAAAGAAATAAGTGGAAAACAAAAAGACTGCTTAGGTTTCCTTCCCCAGGACATCAAGGTTAATAACAGAATCATCTATAAACAAAAAGAAATAGCTTGCGAGTTTAATAATTTTTTTGTTAAAATTGCTCCTGAACTGGCAAATAAGATTCCAAAGACGCAGGCTATATTTAGTGATTTTCTAGTACCGTTGAATGATTGCATTACATCTGTGGAGTTGTCTTCTAAATTATTATTTGAAGAATTTGAAATAGGATTTAAAACTCTGAAAAAAAATAAAGCTACTGAAGCAGATGACATTAATGGTAATATAATTCTAAACTGTTTTGAACAATTAAAAAATATTCTCTTTAAAGTTTTTAGCGCGTCAATTAATCAAGGAATTTTTCCTGAACAACTAAAAATTGCAAAAATTACCCCAATTTTTAAAGAAGGTGGTAGGGCTATTATTAGCAACTACCGACCCATTTCTATTTTACCTATAATTTCAAAATATTAGAAAAAATTTTGTATAATAGAGTCTATGATTATTTTCAATGCAATAACCTACTTTATAGCAATCAATTTGGCTTTAAAAAGCACAACTCCACGGAACAAGCAATCATTCAATTTGTACGCAAAATTTCAAAATCCTTTGAAAATACCCAATACACACTAGGTATCTTTATTGACCTAAGACTTTTGATACAGTAGATCATACAATCTTACTGCATAAGCTTAAATATTATGGTATAAACAAAAAAAACTTAAAGGTGGTTTGAAAGCTACCTCTCAAACCGTAAACAATTTGTTTCTTGTAAGGATGATTGCCAAAAAAATTTATTAGATATATCTTGCGGTGTTCCTCAAGGCTCTATATTAGGACCCCTCTTATTCTTGATTTACATTAATGACTTAAATAAAGCTTCAAATCTACTCAGCATTATGTTCGCTGATGATACTAAGCTATTCCTTTCTGATACTGACATCTCCAAACTGTTTTTTAATATGAATGACGAACTTAAAAAATATCTAGCAGGTTCAAGTGTAACAAATTAACTCTTAATACTAACAAAATGGATTATTTTCCACACGCTTCAAAAAAAAAAACGTTACCTACCCATAAATCTGTCTAAAATATTTATAATTAAATTGAGATTAGGAGGGACTCTGTCATAAAGTTTTTAGGAGTCTATCTTGATGAGCACATTACATGGAAACAGCATATTGATCACGTATGTACCAAGATTTCAAAAAATATTGAAATTTTATATAAATCTAGAGATTATCTAAATAAAAAAAGCTTGACCCAACTCTATCATTCATAATTATAAAAATTATGCAAATATTGCTTGGGAAAGTGCTGAAAAGAATAAGTTGAAACGTCTTTTTTCTCGTCCGAAACACGCAATTCGTATTATTAATTTTTCCGATCGTTCTACTCATTTAAAACCTTTATTTAACGAAATGAGAATACTTAATATTTATGAAGTGAATTTATATAATACTTTATGTTTTCTATATTTGTGGAAAAATAACTTATCTCCTGACGTTTTTAAAAATATTTTTTCTTTGAAACTAGACAATAAGTATGCACTGAGAAATAATAATTTGCTAAATCAAGTTTTATGTCGAACCAAGTTTAATCAGCTTTGTATTGATTACCGTGCACCTAATCTTTGGAATAAAGTTATTTTGCAAAATTTTGATTTACCTTCCTCTTTTTTTATTTTCAAAACTAAGCTAAAAAATCTAATTCTTTATATGGAGAACGTTTTTCTATATTACAAGTGTTATGGGTTGTTCTACCTATTATTAAAACTAAGTTCACCTAAGTATATAGTTACATTGAGATTGTACTGAAACTGATAGCTATGAATAGATGTATAAATGGTTTAGAAGCTATTTAACAAAAAGAAAACAATTTGTAATTAGTAACGACGGCTATCAAAATAATTGTCTTGATATCGTCTGCGGTGTTCCTCAGGGTTCAATCCTCGGGCCCCTACTTTTCTTGATATATATAAATGATCTGAATAAAGCTTCTAACCTTATAAGCATTATGTACGCAGATGATACCAATCTATTCCTCTCAAACAGTAATATATACGAACTCTTTACTACTATGAATAAAGAATTAAAACATATATCAAACTGGTTTAAATGTAATAAGCTAACTTTAAATATTAATAAAACCAAATGGACTTTATTCCATTCGCATGCAAAAAAGCGATTTTTACCAATAAATTTGCCGAAACTTTTTATTGACGAAATTGAAATAAAAAATGATTCCGTTACAAAATTCTTAGGTGTTTATCTCGATGAAAACATCTCCTGGAATCAACATATTAATTATATATCTACCAAAATTTCAAAAAACATTGGGATTCTATATAAAGCTCGTAACTACCTAAATAAAAATTGCTTAAAACAACTTTATTACTCTTTTATCCACAGTTACATAAATTATGCCAACACTGCTTGGGGCAGTACTGTAAAAAGTTAAAACTTCTTTATCGTCGTCAAAAGCATGCGATCCGCATAATTAACTATGCCGATCGTTTTACACACACAAAACCTCTTTTTACTGAAATGAGATTGTTAAATTTATTTGAACTCAATGTATTTAAAGTTTTATGTTTTGTATATCTATAGAGAAATAATCAATCCCCTACCGTTTTTAATAATACTTTCAAACTCAAACTTAACAACAAATACGACATGAGAAACAAACTTTTTAAAAGAACCATTTTGTCACACAAAATTTAATCAATTTTGCATTGCTTATCGTGGACCCCACCTATGGAATAATATAGTTTTGCAGAATTTTGATTTACCAACTTCCTTTTACCTTTTCAAGCTCAATTTAAAAAAATGTATTATTTCACTTGATAATATACTCAGATACTTCTAATATTTTGAAAATTGTTATACAACTTGAATTCAGTACTTTATTTTAATTTTTACTTTATTTTTTAGTATCTTATACTGGTATTTATTTTGCTTGTTTGTGCTTTATAAGGTTCTGATGACAAGATCTTGTGATCTTCTTTCAGATCCTAGCTTATGTTTTATTGTAAGCAGTTTATGTATGTGCGCATCTACGCATTTGTATGTGTATATATGCTTATATTTATATATGTATGTCCGTGTTTTTTCTTATTTTAATTTAGTTGATAAATGTTGTAACACGAATTTAATTGTAACACGATATATATGGCATATATAATTGTACTTTGACATTTTAATGTAAGCAAAATTTAAAAAAAAAAAAAAAAAAGTTTTCTTTATTATTCATTCTTTATTAGAACAATTTTTGTTGTTTTAATTTGAATTATCGTTGGTATAGCTACAGTGCATTGTTTTCTAAATAATTTACAATTACAATGTTTTATCTTTGCTATAAATGTAATGTATTGTTTACCACACTGGCGTAGAAGCAGAGGGCGAAGGGGACGATCGACCCCATTCTCCCATTTTTCATTCTAATTATAATTCTGGCTGGTTTAGCCCCCTTATTATTTTTTAGTCCACCTAACTTTCTTGATCTTTTTAAGCCACTGGTTTACGATACTTTAATTTAGTTTGATTAAAGTTTGTAGTAATATATTAAATTCACAGTTATATAAGTATACACCATTGAAATAGATATTGCAGTTGCAGTTAAAAATAGTTGCATAAAAAGAATTACATACATTTATTCTTCATAGATATACACATTATGTAGGCTAAATGGTTAAATGTCAGATGCCGTCATTTAAAATTTCTAGAACATTTTCAATTAATTTTTAATGAATAGTTGTGTAAAAAGAGTATTCAATATATTACCGTATACCAACTTAAATAAATATATCATTTAATTAATATTTGCATCAAACTTTAAATTATTGATGTAGTAATGAAGATTTACATGAATTATTTAAAGTAAATATTGTAAAAGTAAAATGGATCAGATTAAAAAAACACATAAAAATTACAACTTTCAACATAAAAACAACAGTGATGCAATAAATCCGCTTCTAAACCTAAGCTGATGTAAAAAAAAAAAAGTCAGCGTATTATAGTTTTAATTAAGTTAGTTAGAGACTTTGCAACAATATACAAAAAAAAAAATTATTATATTTTCATATTTTGAAAAACAGTTTTTTTCCATTATCTGGCCCACTGTGCAATATGGACCATCTCTTTTTTATGTTGCAAAATCAAATATAAATATGTCTTTTTTTTCTTCATTAAACAAAAGTTTGATATTTACAAATTTTAACTAAAAAGTTATGTTAGAAAACATTTCAAAGTCAGTTAAAATTAGTCAGAATTTTTAGTAACCACCCGTTATTTAAATCAAAACAAGAAAACTTCGTAAATGTTCCAGAGTTTTATTGTATATGACTTTTCAAAACATTTGCTCATTATTTTTCAGCCAATTCAAATTGTTTTAAAGCTGGCGCTATATGGTATGACTCCCACTTCCCCTTAAAAAATGAACTTTTATACCATCAGGTGGCATTCATCATTGGAACGTTTTTGTACTTTTAGTCAGCAAAACGGAACCTTTATGTCTCTCTAGCTGGCAAAGCGGAAATTGGAGGATTTACTTCTTTTTAAGCCGGCAATAAACTTTGCGACACACTTTCAAATGCACGCAACTTAACACTTTGCACCGGACTCTATATTGTTTATGAAAAATAAATTTAAAAAAATATATCTGAAAGACTTAAAAAAAAAAAATTTTGAAGTTTTTTTGCAACTAATTTCAATAGAAACCAATAGAAATCAACATATCGCCAGTCTAAAGCAAAAGTTATTTGTTACACATTAAGATA